TGGCCACTGAACGGGTGGCCTCGGGCAGCCAGTTGGCACAATCAAAGGCCATTGCTTTCGCGAGATGAGCTGGACACCTTGAGGCGCTGGCGTGAGACGGCCTGGCTTCCTCATGGCAGGGCGGTGTGGTTTGGCTGCGAATTCGGCCACGACCGTGGCCGCGACCCCATTCCCCGCCAAACTTCATGGTGCGATGTAATAACTGTTGGCAGAATATTGGCCTGAACATCCCCTGCTGATTCCATCGCTCTTGTCATGGATCAGGCACCCTTTCGTTATTTCCCCAACGCGGGTGCCCAACCAGGTTTCTGGATCCATTTTGACGCCGCCCGCCGTGATCCAACGCTGGCCTGACATGGCGATAGACGGTGCGAAGCGGTCCAGGAGGTCGCGCTTGCGGTCGGTAGGCCCCTCAGACACCCAGACGTATATGAAGCCGACCAAGATGCCGTGCTGCTTGCACGTCTGTACGTAACCCGCACAGAGTCTCCCTGGCGACTCCTGTGTTGAGGCATTCCACCATGTAAGTTCTGTCATGTGTGGTTCCCGTGCGGCGAAGCACCGCTATGATTACTTCTGCCCTCTTTCCGTCAATCGTCGGTACACTCGATGCAACCATAATTGTCTGCCCACTTCTGCGAAACCTGGCCGGTAGTTCTACTTTCTTTGCCTACACCCGGCACTCCTGGCCAAAGACGACGGGCGCCTCGACCTGGAACCTCAGCTGAGAGCCTGCAAAAACATATGGGGTGTTCAAGTTGCTGGCCACGAGCGTCTGCATGCTGGCTCTGCTACTAGTGCTTGGTTCACTTGGCACACAGCCATGCACCCAGCTAGGAACATGGTAGGCTGGCCTTCCGCTTTGCAGAAATGGAGCCCTGGAGCCATATCAGCCAGGATGGTCTGCAGCATGGGGCCGTGCTTCTGGGCCTGCTGCGCGCTGACGCTTGCCTAGACGAGCGCGGTTGCAATCTCCTGGGGTTTGGCTTTGCCCGGGGGGCGCAAAATGTCCAGGGACAGGGTGTCAGAACAGCCAAGTTAGCCGCACCGTGCAAATCGAGGAAACTCTGGCGCCCAAGAGTCTTTGCTGGGGAGGAGGAGGAGGAGGAGGAGGAGGAGGAGGGAGACGAGGAGGAGGAGGAGGAGGCGGATAGGATAGGATAGGACAGCACTGAAGACGCGGAGGAGGATGAGGACGAGGAGGAGGTAAGGGGGCAGGCGAGGAGGAAGGGGCACTAGAAGAGCAGGAGGAAAGGGAGGGGGAAGACACGACAGCAAACATTTCTCTGGGCGGGACTTCTTGTCGTGGCGGGCGACCTCGAACATCAGGAAGATGGCCCGCGACAATGCGCGCTCGGACCGACCTCCGCGAGGCCCCCGCCGAGGGAGGACTCCGGGCTGCCCCAAGAGGCCTGCGCGAGGCTCCCTATAAAGTGTAGAATTGCAACAAAAAACAATCGAACTTCGGTCATCGACGAGGTCCTCGATCCTCGGTCCTCGAGCAGAAGGTCCTCGATCCTCGGCCCCCGGTCATCGAGAAGAAAGAACCCAAAAAGAGCAGACGGTCCTCATTCCACGTTCATCGATGCCTCGCACTGGGGGGGGGATCGCTAACCCCGCCGACGGCCCCGAATCGACCCCCTTCGCGGACAAACGCATGTGCCGAAGGCGCAGCTTGCTCAGAGCCCACATGCTCAGCCATCGATCCCTGGTCCTCGAGTCCCCCGCCATCGACACCCTGCTCTGGCGGAGGGCCATCGATCCTCGGGCATCGGCGCAACTATTTCAGCATATGCTAGCCACCGCGGACCCCGAACAGTGTCGCTCTAACCACCTATGATGTGCGACCGATGTCGTTCCATCTATATGGTGTTACTTGTGCTGTGCAAAACATGTGTGCAATATCTGTGGTGCAATCGATGTTTTGCGACAGGGAAACATGATATGTCGTGCGATCTATGTCTAACACATCGTAAAATCTATGTGGTGCAATCTACGTGGGGCAATATATGTGGTACAATCTATGTGGTGCAGTCGATGTTGTGCAAGCTGTGTGCTGCAATCTATGTGGGGCAGTCTATATGGTTGTGCAATCTATGTTGTGTAACCTATGTGGTACAATTTCTGTTGTGAAAACTATGAGGTGCAATTCACTTGCCGAACTTGAAATTGTCAACTCCACTGCTCGCGCAATCATCCCACCCACCCACCCGCAACTTGGTTTGCAAAACCCGTGCGGGGCCGAGCACAGATATCGCTCCGGGGTGGTCTTGGAGCCCTCGGGGGCGTCTCAAGAGCGCCCCAAGAAGGCCGGAGAAGCAAGACGGCCGACGACGACGACGACGACGACGACGACGACGACGAGGGCTGCGACGACGACGACGCCGACGTCGACGAAGACGACGACGCCGACGCCGACGACGACGACGAAGACGACGACGACGTCGCCAGCGAAGACGACGACGAGGGAGGAGGACGACGACGAGGGAGGAGGACGACGACGGCGACAACGACGACAACGACGACAACGAGGGAGGAGGGAGGACGGCGACGACGCGAACGACGAAGAAGGAGGAAGGACGGCGACGCCTACGACGACAACGACGAGGGAGGAGGGAAGACGACGACGAGACGACGACGACAATGACGACGACGACGACGGCGACGAAATAGGATGGACGACGACGAGACGCCGACGACGGACGACGACGACGACGAGGGAGGAGGAGGAAGAACGACCACGGCGACAACGACGACGGAAACGACCACGACGCCAAAGAGGACGACGACGACGAACACGAGGAAAGACACAGGACGACGTAGGCGACGACGACGACGACGCGGGAGGAGGGAGGACGGCGACGACGACGACGACGACGACGCCGCAAGAGCGCGCGCGCACGCTTTTGTTCAAAATCCGTGTTGCGAAACCTTGTGTTTTTGTAGGTTTTTCGGACGCGCGATTTTGAAATCCTTCCGAAACCGATGGGTTTTGAAGGATTTCGGCGTACGCGCGCGACGACGCGCGCGTCTGCACTGCGTCCCTTTTTTTGCAGAGGATTCTCGCGACGGCACACGCGCAAGGGCGTTCGACAGACTTCGACATGCGCGCGCGCGCTGCCCGTTTGATAGCACGTTGTGAAAATCTTGAAAAACCAATGGTTGTCTTAAGATTTCGCAAGAGCTCGCGCGTAAGCATTTTTAAGCACATCAATGTTACGAAACCTTGTGTGTTTTGTATGTTTTGTGGAAACTCGATTGCGAAGTCCTTCCGGCACCGAAGGTTTTTGAAGGATTTCGGCATGCGCGCGCGACGACGCGCGCGTGTTCACTTCGCCCCATTGTTTGCAAGGGATTCGTGAAAAAGTGATATGTTAGAACACAAAAAGTCACCGCATAGTGTTTTTTTACAAAGGAACCTCAGGGGGGGAACCCGTTTGGCCTGCGACATTGTGATTTCATATTTAGGATGGACATGTGGTCATAATCATATGTGATTTACTTACCCGAAAGGGGGGGCGATAACTCCAGGGGGGGGTAGATTCTGTTGTCTTTCTAGAAAGGAGAATTGACTTACCCTTAATTGAGTTGGCCACTCCACTGCTCGTGTAAACATCCCACACACCCACCCGCAACTTGGTCGCAAGACCTCTTCAAGCCGTGACTGCGATTACCCATCGTCGACAACGACGACGGCGACGACGACTACAACGACGGCTACGACGACGACGACGACGACGAGGGGGACGACGACAACGACGACGACGACGACGGGGAAGATGACGACGACGACGACGACGACGACGACGACGACGACGACGACGGCGACGACGACGATGCGCGCGGCCGCGCGCATGTGCGCCTCATGGTATTATTTACAAGGGACGGCGCGTCTGGCAAGCGCGCGGAGGTTGTTGAGTTAGTTCGACGTGCGAGCGGAAGTGGCCCGTGAAGGCCCATTTGAGAGGAATGTTGAAATTCCATTGGTTTTTGAAAGATTCTGCAAGAGCGCGCGGGCAGAATTTTCAAAGTTTTTGGGTGAGAATCTTTTATTTTTACAATGAATTATTGAAATCCGATCTTGAAATTGTTGAAACCACAGTGTGTTTAGAAGGATTTCGACATGCGCGCGCGGCGGCCGCGCGCATGTGCGCCTTATGGTATTATTTACCAGGGATTCGTGAACAAGTGCTATGTTGGAGCCAAAAATGTTACCGCATTTTTGCAAGGGAACCTCGGGGGGGAACCCGGTGATTTCATATTTAGGATGGACATGCGGTCAGAATCATAAGTGATTTACATAGGACGCGGGGGGGGTGATAACGCCGGGGGGGGGTAGAGTCTATATCTCTTCTAGAAGGAAGAATCTCGGTGGTTGTGGAATATATGTTGTGCACTCTCACGGTGGGCAATATATGCGGTGCGAATTAATTTGTGCAACCTATATAGTGCAATCCAGGTGGTTGTGCAATCTATGTTTTTGCAACCCATCTGGAGCAATCGTGCAATCCATGTTGTGAACGATGAAGAAAATACAAACAAACAAACAAACAAACAAACAAACAAATAATCAAAAACAAACAAACAAACAAACAAACAAACAAAAACAAACAAACAAACAAACAAACAAACAAACAAACAAACAAACAAATAAAAAAATAAAAAAATAAAAAACGCGCCGTTGGCGCGTTTTTTTCGCGCAATCTACGTCGTGCAATCCAGCGGCAGTGACGGGCGGCGACGAGGCGGCGACGGGGCGGCGACGGCCAGCGCGGAACAGCCAGACGCCGTCACGGCCCAAGCGACGGGCGGCGACGGGACGGCGACGGCCGGCACGGAGCCGCCAGACCGCCCACACGGCGGAGTTCTTCAGGGCACAAGTGAGAACCCCTAAGTGCAAGCACTGTTTGGGGAGAAAGCGTCAAAAACGAATTCTGCCATCTATCCTCGGTCTCCTCCTCTCCGCCCCGACGGCTCCGCCGCCGCGGGGGCGGGGCCGCCTCGGGCCGGGCCATCGCGGTGGTGCCCATCACCACTGTGCCGCGGTATGCGTGCAGCGGGTGCTGCCTCTCCACATCAAGGGCGGGAATCGGCGGCGACGGGGTCGAGGGCGATTACCTTTGAATATCTAGAGCGCCTCGCCGCGCGAAACACGGTGGAGTCCTGGTCTGCTTGGCCGCGTGACTCCCAGATAACTTTCCACGCCCTCTCTTCGCCTCAATCATGTCATACCCAGTGGCCAGGCCATCGGGTTCTGCCTCTGTCAACCTGACCAAGTCCCAAACCTCTGGCGGTGCCACTGGAATATCACACCATCGCTATTCCATGCCTTTCCTCCCGAGTCCTCGGCCTGTGGCGACCCATGGGGCCCTCAGGGCCCACGGGGCCCTCGTCTTTCCAGTGGGCGCCCGCCGCAACGAAAACAACCACGAGGCGAGAAGTTGATACGGGAGGGTGTGTTGCAATATCGATGGTGCGTGCTGGGGCTACTGTGGTCCCAATGTCCCAATGCTCCTCCTCGCTCCTCACTCCTGCTCCTCCGCGGGCGGCGCGCACCTCTGCGTGTCTCCAGGACTGCGGCTCGCGGCGCACAAGCTCCGAGGGCCGCCCGGGCTCAGAGGTGAGAGCTCGTGGGGTGGGCTGCCGGTGCCGGAGGGTAGCCGCCACAGCCGGCTGCGGCGAAGACAATTGCTGTCGGGCTGGCGGCCGTCACGCGGCCCACTTTTGTCTCAAAGTTGTCGCTCGCTCCTCCTCCTCCTCCTCCTCCTCCTCCTCCTCCTCCTCCTCCTCCTCCTCCTCCTCCTTCCCCGCCCTTTTTCCCTTCGCGCTTGCCACTAGAGCCTCGGCAAAAGGGAGGGCGAGATGGGCACGAACGGACGGGCCGAGCGCAGGAAGGACACGAAGAGCGAGACCTGCGGGAAGGCGGCGGCCGTTCCGTAGACGCACGCGCGCGTGCACACCGCGTGCCCGCGCTCCCGCGCGCGCCAACACATGCACGTGCGTGCGCACCAACCCCTAGAGATGGGGACGGAGAGGGAGCTCCTGGAAGCCTCGGAGGGGGAAGGAGGGAGGAGGGAGGAGGGAACTCTCTCCTCCCTCCTCCCTCCTCCCTCCCTCCTCCTTCCTCCCTCCTCCCTTTTCCCTCCTCCCTCGTCGTCCTCCTCCTCCTCCTCCTCCTCCTCCTCCTCTTCCTCCTCCTCGTCCTCCTCCCCCTCTTCCTCCCCCCTCCTCCTCCGCCCTCCTCCTCCTCCTCCTCTTCCGCCCTCCTCCTCCGCCCTCCTCCTCCTCCTCCTCCTCCTCGTCCTCCTCGATCCATCGTCCCGTCTCTGGAAGGAGGGTGCGTGCACGTGCTGCGCAAGCGGCCCAGGGAGCGTTGGGGCCTTGGGGCCCCCGCCGCTCCCCCTTCGGCCGCCGCCGCCGCGGGCCCAGCTCGCGTTGGGCCCCCCTCGGGGCCCCCCCTCTGTGGGCGGGCGGCGCGCTCGCCCTCGAGGTGGCGACGACGAGAAGGGAGTCACGCGGCCGGGCGCCCGTGCCCTCGGGGCGCTGGTGGCCACCGCGGCCCAGATGACCGAAGGCGTGCTGGTGATGCCCCTGGCCCATGATGTTAATATAATAATCACGTAACAAGTATTCGCAATCAAAACGTATATTATTCTTATTATTATTATTTTTCTTATGTTTCTTCTTCTGATTACTCTTATTCTTATTATTATTATTATTAGTATTATTATTATTATTATTATTAGTATTATTATTAGTAGTATTATTATTACTATTATTGTTATTATTATTATTATTATTATTATTATTATTATTATTATTCGTTTCCTTCTTCTTCTTCGTGTTATTATTCTTTTTCTTCTTCTTGTTCTTTTTTTCATTATTCTTCATATTCCTCCTCGTCGTCGTCGTCGTCCTCCTCCTCCTCCTCCTCCTCCTCCTCCTCCTCCTCTTCCCTCCGACTCTCCAATTCCTCCCCATCCTCCCCTCTTCCCCCCCCGTCCCTCCGATGAAACGCGCCCCCCCCCCGCCGGAAACGCGAGGGGAATACAGCCGGCCCCGCCCCGCACGGCCTGGGCGCGACGTCGAACACGCCAGAGCGGCTCGTGGTGGTCAGCCCGTAGCTCCACCTCAGTCCCGCCCCCCGGGGCGGACGACTGGGAGTGGCAAGGCTTCGGGTTGTGCATGGACAGCCCTCCAGGTAATCTGGGCTGGCCTCAACAGGCGGTATCAACACCCTCGCCCCGCCTCCGGCATCGTCCCTGCGGCGCTCCGCGCTCTAGAATTGCTGGGGCGTTGAGACCGCCCCTGGCTAATAGGGTGGACCTGTTGAGGCCAGCTGGGGCTTCTCGCGGGGCCTGTTGAGACCAACCAGGGCTACTGGGGGGGGGGGCGTCTGTGCGATTTGAGGACTTGAGCGACGTGGGCAAGCTTGTCTCAAGGACTGAAGACCTCGAGCGCCCCGCCTTTGGCCAATGCCCAGGGAAGAAAATAACCTTCCGTTTCCTCCTCCTCCTCCTCCTCCTCCTCCTCTTCCTCTTTCTCTTCCTCTGCCTCCTCGCTTCCGCTTGGTTGCGACCCTCCTCCTCCTCCTCTCCCTCCTCCTCCTCCTCCTCCTCCTCCTCCTCCTCCTCCTGCTCCTGCTCCTGCTCCTCCTCCTCCTCCCCTCCTCCTCCTCCTCCTCCTCCTCCTCCTCCTCCTCCTACTCCCCCTCCTAATCATCTTCCTCCTCCTCGAGCGCGGCAGAAGGCGCACCGAATCCTCCATCACCTCGCCGACGCCGTACTGCAGGTAGACCGCTCGAGTTGACATCGATCTGTCGGCAGCACGAAACTGGCCTTGGATAAAGAAACAGTACCGTCAGAAGAGACGGGGAGAGCGTGCCAAGCATTGTACATATAGTGGGCAAAGACAGGAACCTTACACGATTTTCTGGACGGCCCCCACACCCCAAGACGGACGATGGGCTCTCCATCAACTATGTGTCCGGGCACCGTTACCAACAGCCAGATAAACGTGGGGCAGGACCAATAGCGCCAGAAACTGTCAGCCCCACGAGGGCGGCCCAGGATGCAATTTGCAGTGCCCTGGAATCTGTGACTCGTGCACCAACAACCTCCAAGGGTCTTGAGGGCGGCGGATCTCCAGGAAGGGGAGAGAGTGGCGATCACCTCTCGAACTCTTCCCCAGTCGATCTCGTCAATCAAACTCTTGCACTCAGGACGGCCGTTGGGGAGTCTCCTGCGAAACGTGTCCTGGACCTTTGTCAGGATGCAGCTGCTCGATCAGGATCAGGGTGGGGATCCGCTGAGGCTTCGGGGCGCGGAGAGGCCTCAGAAGGCTCTCGACTTGGATCTCACGGAGGGCTAGAAGGGCACGGGCACCAGCTCGAGCAACAAGATGGCCCTGTGGGAAACCAGCGGAGGCCTCGAGCAAGTTGAAAGCGAACGGGGGGCTCTTCCAGCGGGCAGGCCAAGGGGTCTGCGCGATCACTCGGACCAAGAGCGAGGCGCCCTCCGCCTCCCGGTACAGTAGGGCGGCGCCGTCCCTCCAGGAGGTGAACGCACACAACGCTGCGCGCATCAAGGAAGCACGGCACAAAGCTTGCACGCTGCCAACTTTTGGTCCGCCCCATCGGACCAGGCTATGCCACTCGGCGTTGGTCAGGGCGCGAGACTGGATATTGAAGAGCCGAGGGAAGATGCAGCATTCATCGTGACGTAAGCGCTGAGGAGGAAGAACGTATTGAACAACGCATGACAAGACCGTGAGAGCACGGACACGATAAAGTCCAGCCGTCATCTCTGAGGAGCTCCCTTGGGCGCCAATGGAGAGGGACCTGCTAAAATACTTCGCAATGGGCGTCTTCCAGGGGTCTTCGGGGGTCACGTTGGGGCCCAGGAGCATCCCCAAATATCCGAGCGCGACGTCATTCTTCATGTCCTTCCAGGCGGGGATGTTCTCGAGGAGCCAAGCTTTGTTTGATGCGGAACTCCGATCTGTCAGTGAGGGGGCCTCCAACGGGGGCGATGGTGCACTTGGAGCTCATGATCTCGAGGTGGGCAACTAGCTTGGCAACCTCGAAGACGCGCGAGGCGGCAATGAGGTGCGAGAGGCGGTGCAGGGCCATGCCGATGTCGTCTGCGCACGCACGCGCGATGCCATGGTTCGGGGAGTCGATGTTGCCCCTGAAGCACTGCAGGAAGGGGTCCATGGAAAGCGCGAAAAGCACCCCCCCGACCCTGGGCGCCCCTGGATCATGCCGCTCGCGATGTTAAACAGGAGCCCCTTGCGGTGCCCCGTCTACCCCCGGCGCGGGACACCCGTGTAAACCAGCGCGAAAAAGTCCTTCAAATTCTGTTGGATCGGCAACATTGCCAGCGCCATCAGCATCCACTGCTGGCTGGAACGCCTGGCCGAAGTCGTATCCGACCAGAACGGGGAGCAAGGAAGGGTCGCGCGTGCTGTAGGCTCGGGCGTGAACGTCAAGGTCTATGATGTCGTCACCAAAGTTTCTTCCCGCCACAAACCCTTTTCTGGGTTTCGCCCAGGCCGCGGGGCGTAGCGCGGCTCGTGGCGTAGCAGCAAGCAGCAGACATCAGTTTGTTGCCGTTGCTTGCGAGGCCCAGGAGACGAGTATTAGTGGCAGACCGACTCGCACCGTTCCCATCGTTATCGTCATCTCCTTTGGGCGCGAAGATGCCCTGCGCAAAATTGCAGTCAGTTCATAATGAGAAACCCTCGAGCATCCACCTCATGCGATCATAGGGGACGTCAATACCCATGGGGGCGTTTTTCCAAGCCTCGCAAAGCAAGTTGTCGGGCCCGGTGGCCGAACGACGAACCCGATCCATAATTTTCCGCATCGCGTGGGCGCTCGGGGCCGGGAGGTCCAGCTGCGGCATCTTCGGGGCGCGCCGCGGGAGGAAGCCGACGGCCTGGCCCGCCAAGAACGGCCTCGCAGTGAAGACTTCTTGCCAGTGAGGGCCTAGCTGCGGTGACATCGCCTTCGGCCTCTGCGCCGTCGAGCCGTTGTCCAGGCGCGCGCCTGCGTGATGCATCCGGTTGTCGACGGGTGGCCCGAGCTGCTGCATTCTGGTAAGACGGCGCTGTTGTTTCTGGCGCTTGCTCCGGCGATGCGCATGGGGGTCTCTTTCTGCATGCTGGCGGATTTCGGCTCGACATCGCTTTGCAGCTTCATGGTGCAACGCGCCATGCAGTGCTGAAAATTCCCGCGGCGACGAAGGGGGAAAGCTCGCACCTCGTGCTGTGCGCCGAAATGCTCGCGGGCAAGCGCATGCGCGAGGTGCCACTTGGTGGCAAAGTCGAAGTCATTCTGACAGGTCGCCCTCGCGCAACTGCGCGTGGCCATGCACTCTGCAGTGGTGCTATTCGGCTTGCCGATGATAATGCTATCTCGTGCGTGTCGTGCTGCTTCGCGCATGGGGGTCTTAGTCTGGGCGTGAATCTGGGGCTGGCTTATGTCCGTAGACGACGGGGCAACCTCCCGAGCTTCTGACAGGTACTTGTGGTGCTCCTGCGACTTGAAAATCTCGAGGGATCGGGCGCAGGTCAGGCCGCGTGCTCTCACGGACCTGCGAGAACACACAAAATGGAGAATGGTCCAGAATTTCTTTGGCATCGAGCTCCCCAAGGCCCCGTTGGACCTGCCCTCCCGAGGGGTGCTGGGTAAGCGCGCAGCCTGGGGCCGACGTGCAAATCCTGTCATGCATGAAAGCGTCTCGGTACCAGCGTGGCAATGAGCGGGGGCCTCGACCTGAATTTCAACCAGAGGTCCTAGAGCAGCGCGCCATTCACGCGGGGGATGAGGAGGAGGGCCAGGCGGCGCAGCGCGCGCGTCAGGTAAAAGAGGAATGGGAAGGGACATGACAAACATTGAAGTCGCCTGCGACAGAGGCGAGCCTCTCGTGCGGGCTCTCTCGGCTGCAGGCGCACTCGGCTGAGATCTTATGAGAAACAAGGCGTCTCTCCTGCGCGTTTAGATCATGATTGTGAAACCGAAGATCCTTTGCCGAACCTCATGCCTCTGGAAAATGGGGAAGACAGTAGCTGCACCACCTGCACGCAAAGCGGCAGGTGAGTCAGGGGTGACAGAGGACGAGGTAAACTGGAAGGAGAGACGCAACGTGGAACGCAAACCCTTACGATCACGAGTGGTAGCGTGCGTTTCCGGAACAGCAAATATCGCACCAAGCTGCAACACGTCGGCAAAACATGTCTGCTTTCCCGTGCGGAGCGACGGCTTGTGCTGCACCAGGACGTTGGCGTTCCACGTCGCCACGCGCGCAGGCAGAGAGGGCGATTCTTCCCGCTCCACGAGGCATGCGCAGTGCTAAACACACCACTCAGAGTCATCATCGCCCCCAGCGGGGGCTCCTGTGATGGCGCGGCGCAGCCCTTCCACGTCAAAGCCGAGGTCGGTGAGGTCACGGTTCTTCTACCGCAAGCCAGGGAGGTCGCTGTACTTCGGCGTGATCTCGAGCAGCTCCTTCCATTGTTTTTAGAGGATTCCACGCTCACGGTTGATGAAGATCTTGCGGTCGGGATACGCTTCATTGAACACCATCTTCGCTTTATTACATGCCATCTCGCGTTTGATCTGGCACGGGGGCTTGTCCGGCCAAGCAAAGACTTCAGCACGCTGCCAATCGAGAGTAGCCATCCACAACTTGTTCCAATATCCACCAGCTGCAGACGGACGGAGGAGGCCCAGCGACTGGTTGACGAGTCTGCTCGCGCAGTTCCGTAACACCCTTGAACTTAAGAAGGAAGCGCTTGCTCGACGGCTCACCCTGTACTTCCCGCTGGTTCTCTGCAGCGTCAATCTGCACAGGCCAATGCTTGCACATGTCCTGGATGCACGTTTTCGGGACCATCGAACCGGAACGCAACACGATGATGGTGGGGTCAAGGTCGCGATCGGAATTCGTGCCAACCACCGTAAGGGGAGTCGTGGGGGCCGCGCTCCGCGCGATGCCGAGCTCGGTCTTGAGCATCTTGATCTCGGACATGACCTGCTCGAACTGCACGGTGTGCTGGTTGACGGTCGCCTCCAGAGGGGCGAGACGCTTCTCTACCTGCGTAGACATAACAGAACACGACGTAGTGA